TTTGGAAGATAAGGTAGATAAAAACACACAGTTAGAGTAACAAAATGAAAGTAGACTTAAAAAGAATGTGGATAGTTTAAGGGAGCGTTTTGACGACATGAAATGTTACAATATTTACATTATAGGGGCACCAAAAGGAGAAGAAAGGGAACAAGGCATAGAAAACCTGTGAAATAATAATGACAGAAAATATCCTTAACTTGGTGAAGGAAAAAGTCATGCAAGTTCAGGAAGCACAGAGTCACAATGAAGATGAACCCAAAGAGGCCCACAACAAGACACAACAATTAAAATGGCAAAGTTTAAATACAACGAGAGCATCTTAAAGGCAGCAAGAGAGAAATAGTTATCTACAAGGGAGTTCCAATAAGGCTGTCAGCTGTTTTCTCAACAGAAACACTATAGACCAGAAGAGACTGACACGAAATGTTTCAAGTAATGAAAAGCAAGTGCCTGCAACCAAGACTACTCTATTTAGTAAGGCTCTCATTTAAAATGGAAAGTGAAATAAAGAGTTTCCCAGACACGTAAAGGTTAAAGTAATACATTTCAATCAAACCAGCATTGGAAGAAGTGCTATAAGAACTGCTTTAAAATGAAGAAGAAACAGAGAGAGAAAGGAACACAGAAACAAAGGGAAAAATGGCAAGGAATAAGTATATATTAATAATAATCTTAAATGTAAATGGATTAAATTATCCAATCAAAAGACTTAGAGTAGCTGAATGGATAAGAAAACATGACCCACATATTTGCTGTCTACAAGAGACCCATCTCAGAACAAAAGATTTACACAAGCTGAAAGTGAATGGATAGAAAAAATATTCTATATGAATAGGGAAAAAAACCTCTATACTTCTATCTGACAAAATATACTTCAGAACAAGGATTGTAACAAGAGACAAAGATGGTCATCACATAATACTTAAGGGTCAGTCCACCAAGAGGATATAACACTTGCAAACGTACATGCACCCATATAGGAGCACTTAAACATACAAAGAAAAATCTTGAAGGACTTTAAGAAAGAGATCAACAATACAGTCATCGTAGGGAATTTTATAACCCCTTCCTGACAACAATGAAGATTTCTTGAAGAGAAAAAGTCTAGAAGGATACAGCAGCATTAAACAACACACTAAACCAAATGTATTTGATTGATATTTACATAACATATTTCATCCCCCAAAAAAGAGAATATACATTCTTCTTAAATGCACATGGAGATTCTCAGTGATAGACCACATGGTAGGGCACCAAATAAGCCTCAACAAATAGAAGATAATTGAAAGCATATCAAGCAGTTTCTTGGATGACAATGGCTTGAAACTAGAAACCAACATCAGGAAAAAAACTGGAAAACATTTAGATATATGGAAGCTAAATGATATGTTATTAAATAATGAGTGGGTTAACAAAAAAGAAGGAAGTCATACTTTTTACAATAGCATCAGAACTGGAGATTATTATGCTAAGTGAAATAAGCCAGTCAATGAAAGACAAATACCCTATGATCTCAATTATAAGTGGAATCTAATGAACCAAATAAACTAATGAGCAAAGTAGAACCACAGGCCTAGAATCATGGAATAGGTTGAAAGATGTAGGAGGGGAGGGGTGGAGGCAGGAATTGATTGAAAAGTGAAGGGATCGGTGGAAGAACGTATATGAAGACCCATGGACATGAAAAACTGTGTGTGGATTGACTATAGAAGTGGGGTGCAGGTTTGGTTGAGGGGCCAAAGGGGGAAAATTGGGAAAACTGTAATAGCATAAATAATAAAACAAAAAAAGAAAAATTGAACAGAGATCAGAGATCTATGAGATAACATCAAGCATGCGAATATACATGTGCTGAGACTCCCTGATAAAGAGGAGAAAAAGAAGAATCAGGAAAAACTTTTAAAGAAATTATCATAAACTCCTCAATCTGTTGAGGATGTTCATCTATACATTTAATAAGCTCAATAAAAACTGATTGGGATATATACAAATAGGCCCACATGTATTTACTACAACATATTTTATAGGCAACCAGCTGAAAACCACAGAATGCATGAAACACGATGCATCGAAATTTATGATGTTGTTAAAGCAATCCCTTAGGGGAAATCTAAGGCTGTAAATGCCTCTATGAGAAAAGAAAGATTTTAATCAATCATGAAACTCTCAATCAGACACAAGTGAAAGAAGAGGAGACAGCTAATTAAATACTGAGCAGAAAGTTGCGATGGGGAGCATGTCACGAGGGTCTCCAGGCTTGTGGAGCCCGGTATAAATACCATGCAGCACCAAGCAGGCAGAAAGCACGCTGCAACCTTCAGTTCCACCACCTGGGTGACAGACAGTGCAGAGTGCTGAGCGGGCTCAGATCAGCCAGAGGAAACCTGAGGGCCCATCCGCCACAAAATCTAGCATGAAAATCCTTGTGGCCTTGGCAGTCTTTTTTCTCGTCTTCACTCAACTGTTTGCAGAAGAAATCGAATCCAACAATAATCTGAATTATTGGTCCAACTGGTCCGACAGCGACTAGATCAAGGAGAAGCTGTCCGAGCCCATTGACTGTCTTCTGCTGAGAATCTCCGGGAGCGTCAATCCTCATTGGAAATTCTATGGATTAGTGAACAAACCAGATGCTGGTTCCTCGCCTGAAAAACAAGTGGCTCTCTTCAAGGCTTTTCATGGGCATGGCCTGATCTCTCGTAAAACTCATAAAACAGATTTCTTTGTTGGAATTTTGCCCATTTCTAATGGGCAAAAGCCTTTTAATTCTGCTTATGAAAGAAGTGCAAGGCAGAATTATGAAAGAAGACATAAACTACCCAGTATGTTATTTACTGAGCTTCATTTGTGTCAATGGCCAACAAAAGGTAAAAAAATAAGAAATGCACTATGAAGAGTAATTATTTATTTAATAAAAATCATTGTTTTGAGATGAAAACTCAAAAAGTGTCTACTTTCCATATTGTACCAATATGTTGTAAAAGTGTGTTATAATTCTGATATGATGACTCCCTTAGAAATAGAAATCAGTGGTAATTTCTCAACAAAGCATGGTGTTCAATGAAATAGTAAAAATCTGTCAATAATATATAGTCTCTGAAGAAAGAAATAATGTTTGTTTCTTGGAAGTAGTCATGTCAGCTCCTGCTGAAGAGCAGGACGCTCACAGACAGGCTTGTGCTTCTCCACTAGTTTTTATGGTGAAAATATACTGAGATTTGGTATCAAACTATATTTGTATCCCTGCAGCATGTTTTATGTTTTGTAACTATATAGAGATGTTTTAAAACTTTTAATGTGATCCTAAGGTCTTCATTTTATTTTATAATGTGTTGTGATAGTTGACATTTTAAATAAAAGAAAAATATCTTGAGAAAAAATTAAAATGAGAAACAGAAAACAAGAGAGAAAACTTGAGGAAAATAAGTCAGTTATTTGAAAATACCAACAAATGTGACAAACATAATCTAGAATTACCAAGAAGAAGTGAGAGAATTCAAGGTACCTATACCAACCAAACACATTACTAGTAATATTACAGAAATTAAAAGGAAGCAAAGGGAATATTACAAATAAATTATGTCGACAAACTAGGTTATGTGGGGGGTGTGGCTCCACTAGCAGAGCTCCCCCAGGGCAATCACAGATGAGAATAAATCTACCAAGACATGATCTGCTTGGGGAGGAAAGGTGACCAGTCTCTCAGAGTAGAAAGATCCTGAACATTTCCTTTCCTGCATTTTTACTGAGTTCAACTCATACAGAGATATACACTATGCACATAAAACTCATCAACCAATGTCCGAAAAGCTACAGTCATGAAAAAACAACATCATTTACAGATAATAGTTGGAGAAATACAGAAATTGTCTCTGGTCAGGATTGGCTTTAGCTCAAATGTGTTTCATAGCAACAGGTCAGAGCAAGCCTCAAAGGAAACAAGGTATATTCTTCCTCCGGCCAGATTTTCCCCCAGGAGCCATCTTTTCCAGTATAAGGTCACAGCTGCCTCTGGCATAGTTCCCAGGCTGAGTCAGGTGGGGAGAGCAAAGCAGCTGAGAGACTAGGAGACTTTTATAGAAATACTGAGGACTCAGGCTATGACAAAGCCATGGGGTGAGGATCTTTATGCCCCTTCTCTGAAGACCTCTAAGTCCTTCACTGATGGCCCATCATGACTGTGCCTGTCTTAGGTTGCCCCTCTCTTTTTGAGCAGTCTTACCCATCATCGGCTAACCAGTCAACCACTTAGGCCAAGCAGGGGGAAATGAGGGAGGCAGGGGCTGTGCTCCTGCCAGGAGGAAATGTTCTCACTCCTTAGTGGCTCATGTCCCCAACTCCTTTTCACTCAGCTCTAGCCGTGGGACCCTTTCATCTGTTAATGAGGCTACAGTCCCTGAAACCAGGCAGAACAGCTCCCAACAAGGTAACTTACATGAAATGAATTCTTAGAATGACACAAATTACCAAAATGGACTCACAAATAAACAAATAATCTGAATATATATGTATGTAAAGGAAATTTAAACAGTAATTAAAAATCTTCTCACAAAGAAAATTACTGACTTAGATGGTTTCATTGGAGAAACTATCAAAAGTTTAGAGAAGGAATAATGGCCCTGGCTGGTGTGTCTCAGTGATTGTGTGCTGGGCTGTGAATCAAAGTGTTGTCAGTTTGATTACCAGTCCAGGGCACATGCCTGGGTTGTGGCAAGGTCCCCTCTTGGGGGCATGCAAGAGGCAGCCACTCATTGATGTTTCTCTCCCTCCTTTTCTCTCTCCCCTCCCTTCTCTAAAACAAATAAATAAAATTAAAAAACAAACTAAAAATAAAAAAGGAATAATGTTGATCCTTCAGAAGAAAGATTCATTCAGAAAACAGAAGAGTTGGGAACACTTCACAAAGAGTTTAATGAGGACATTACTCTGCTATCAAAGCCAAACATACAATATGAAAAATACAGACCACTAGGTGCAAAAGTCCTACAAAAGTATTAGCAAATCAAAACCACAAACACACATAATAGATTATATAACACGACCAACTGCCATTTATCCCCAAAGTAAACAGTTGGTTTAACATATAAAAATTAATTAATGTAAAATACAATATTAATTGGATATAAGAAAAAAACCACATGATTCTCTCAACAGAGGCATTAAAAGCATTTGTAAAGTCCAATGCTCATTCATTATAAAAACTTTCAACACACTAGGAATAAAATGGAACTTCCTCAGCCTCATAAAGGGCACCTACAGCTGTCCCATACTTTATGCTGAAAGACTGAGTGCTTTTCCTCAAGGACCAGGAACAAGATGATGGCTTCTGCTCCTGCCACTTCTATTCAACATTGTATTGAAGGCTCGAGACACTGCAACCAGAGAAAAACAAAATTAAACCTTTCCAGATAATTGAAAAACAAAAGGTAAAACAGTCTTCATGTATACATGACCTGATCCTGTATGTAGAAATTTTCATGGAATCCATATACACACAAACCAAAACTAGACCTGATAAGCAGGTTTACCAAGTGCACAAGATACAAGTTCAGTATACAAAATACCAATTGCATTTCTAGACACTAGCAAGGAAAAATCTGAATATTAAAGTAAGAAAACATTTGCATTAAAAATAAAACAAATATGATTAAAATAATTAGTAATTAATTTAACAAAAGAACAAAACATGTATGTGGAAAACTAAAAAACAATGCAAAGAAAAACTGAAGGATATCTAAATAAATGTAGAGTCCATGTTCATGGATTAGCAGATTCAATGTTTCCATGATCCCATCCAACCCACATTGATCTATAAATACAATGCAGCAGGATTTGTGGCCAAAAATTAGCAAATAACATTAAATTTACATGAAAACAAAAAATACCTACAATAGCCTAAATAATTTTGGAAAAGACTAAAGTTGGAAGACTGTTATGGTCACCCTGTGTAAGTGGTGGGTGGGGGACTGTCACCCAAAGTCTGACTTGGATGCACAAGCTGATGTTGCCACATGCTGAGGAGGATGTGAATGGGTTGGTTACTTACACCAGTGACATTTCTGGGGACAGTAGTGCAGGCCGCTCAACAAGGCCTTATAGCATCTGATTTCAAAGCTTATATAAAAATAAATAACAGTAATGATGCCAGTGTGGTAGTAGTGCAAAGAGAGCATGCAGGTCAAAGAGGATTGAGTCAAGAAATAAATAAACCCTTAAATGTCAGGTCAACTGGCTTTCGACAAATGAGCTGAGTCAATTTCATGGGGAAAGTTTAGTCTTTTCAACAAATGATGCTGTGACAACTAGATATTCAAAGGCAATAAAATTTTGTGTACATCCATATACAAAAATTACTTTAAAATGATCCAAAAACTTAAATGGAAAATCTGTATAAAAACTTCTAGAAGAAAATGCCACAGAAAATTTTCATGATACTGGTCAGGTAAAGTTCTTAGATATAACCTGAAGCACATTATCCAGAAAATAATACATTTTCATAAACTGAACACTTTCAAAATTAAAAAGTTGTACTTCAAAAGTCTTTATGAAGAAAATGAGGGATTTCTGTCAAGATGGAGGCATAGGTGGAAGCACTGTGCCTCCTCGTACAAACAAGTTTAAAAACAACAAAGTTTTAGCAACAAAAACGCAGCCAAACCACAGAAAATTGAACTATACAGAAGTCTGACAACAAGGAACACTTCAGCCAAACCAGTAAGGGGGGCAGAGTCAGCAGCAGAGTGGGGTCGGGCAGGAAAGATCCACTGGACTGACCTGGGTGCATGCTCCAGGCACCCTGGCAGCTGTAGGCAGATCCCAGGTGTGGAGTAGCAGGTGGACCCACTGTGGGCACAAGGCGGTGGACTCACTGAGGGCAACCATGGTCACACATTTGCGTGCAGATAAACCAGTGAAGGAGCAAACAGTGAGACAGACCACGCAGTCCCCAGTGGCAGGAAGTGGCAGAAGGGACTGCTATTGTCCCTCTCTGACCCTGCCCCCACATACAGCATCACAACCCAGCAACCTGGGTGGCCCTGCCCTGGTGAACAACTAAGGCTCCTCTCCTCACACCTAACAGGCACAAACAGATCAAAACATGGCTCAAGAAAAACTCAGAGCCCCAGAGCCAATAAATCTAAGCAATGAAGAAATAGCCAAACTTTCAGATGCACAGTTCAAAACACTGGTGATCAGGATGCTCACAGAACTGGTTGATTTTAGTCACAAATTAGAGGAACATATGAAGGCTAAACTAATTGAAATGAATGGAAATACACAGGAAACCAATAGTAATGGAAAGGAAACTGGGACTCAAGTCAAAAGAGTGGACCAGAATAAAGAAAAAAATGACCAAACAGGAAAGGATGACGAAACAAGAATTCAAAAAAATGAGGAGAGGCTTAGGAACCTTCAGGACATCTTTAAACATTCCAACATCTGAATTATAGGGGTACCAGAAGGGGAAGGAGAACAACCATGAGTGGAAAACTTATTTGAACATATAATAAAGGAGAATTTCCCCAATCTGGCAAAGGAAAGACTTCCAGGAAATCCAGGAAGCTCAGAGAGTCCCAAAGAAGTTGGACCCAAGAAGGAACACACCAAGGCACATCATAATTGCATTAGCCAAGATTAAAATGAAGGAGAGAAATCTAGAAGCAGCGAGAGATGAGGGGACAGTCACCTACAAAGGAGTCCCCATCAGACTGTCAGCTGATTTCTCAAAAGAGACCTTACAGGCAAGAAGGGGCTGGAAAGAAGTATTCCAAGTCATGAAATCCAAAGACATACATCCAAGATTGCTCTATCCAGCAAAGCTTTCATTTAGAATGGAAGGACAGATAAAGTGCTTCTCAGATAAGATCAAATTCAAGGAGCTCATCATCATCAAGCCTTTATTATATGAAATGTTAAAGGGACTTATCTAAGAAAAGAAGAAAATAGGATGAACAGTGAAAGGACAGCGAACTCACAGTTATTAACAACCACACCTAAAACGAACGCAAACTAAGAGGAAAGCTACATCAGGAGCAGAACCACAGAAATGAAGATCACATGGAGGGTTAGCAAAAGGGGAGTGTGAGAAGGAGAAGGGGAGAGAATGTACAGAAAATAAGTAGCATAGATGGTAGGTAGAAAATAGATAGGGGGAGGGGAAATATAGTAGGGGAAATATAGAATCTAAAGAACTTGAGACACGTGGTCATAAACTAAAGGGGGGGAATGGTGGGGGAGGGGTGTGCAGGGTGGAGGGGAATGAAGGGGGGAAGAGAACAACTGTAATGGCATAATCAATAAAATATATTTTTAAAAAATGAAAAAAATGTGTAGAGAAGAAAAAAAGAAAATGAAAAGATGGGAGATGGAAGAAAATATTTTCATACCATGCTTGATAATGGACCTTTATCTAGAGTGCACAAATAACTCTTTCAACTCAATAAGCACAAAAACAGTGCTCATTAGTCAAATGGACATGCAAATTAAAATCCCAAGGAGATGCCTCTTGACACCTGCTGGAGTGTCTCTAATCAAAACAGCAGCCAATACCAAGTGTTGGTGAGTATAGGTAAAATGGTTTAGCTATTTTGAAGAATGAAGTACAATTATTTAAAAAGTTAGAGTATGTTACTCATGACTCAGCAAATCCTCTCCTGAGAATCTAAGGAAAAAATATGTCCCCACAAAGACAAGTACATAAATGTTCACAGCAAGATTACTCAAAATAGCCAGAAACTGGAAACAATCCAAATGTCCAGCAACTTTTGAAAACAAAATGATGTATATCCACATAATGGAACAGTATTTAGCCATACAGAGGAACAAGCTACTGATGCACGCTACAACATGATGACCCTCAAAAACTTTATGCAAAGTAAAAGAAGCCACATGTAAAAAATGACAGATTGTATGGTTATGTTTTTGTTAGCTGCCTAAAGGATCAAAATTTCAAGACGGAAAGGAGATCAGTGGTTTACTTAGGACTGGATGTAGGAGTGGGATTCACTGCAACTCAGTGTATGTTTTAATATGATAAAATTGCTCTAAAAATCTATTGTAATGCTGGTGGAAAACTATAACTGATAAAAATCATACAGTTGCTCATTTTCAGTAGATGACCTTCATGGTATGTAAATTACATCTCATTAAAGCTATATTTAAAAAAGAAGGGTTAGCTAGTATCTTGAACTGTGATAGCTTTCTCCCTTATTTTCATTTTCATAGATGTTTACTGTGTGCCAGGCACTGTACTAGGTGCTTAAGGAAGCAAGAGAGGAAAAAGGAAGCAGGCCCCAGGTGCCCTCTTACGTGTAGGGCCCAATCAGAGCTGTATCAGGACAGAGAAGCTTGAACATCTGCTGCTGAAAGACAGTTTTATATGTAGCCACTGGCCTATGAGAATTAAGAATAAAATCTTTTTGCCCTGGCTAGTGTAGCTCAGTGGATTGAGCACGGGCCTGCAAACCACACGATCACGGTTTGATTCCCAGGGTACATGCCTGGGTTGCACACTAGTTTCCAGCAGGGGACTCATGAGAGGCAACAATGCATTGATATTTTTCTCTTTCTCTCCTTCCCTTCCCCTCTAAAGATAAATAAATAAAATCTTTTAAAAAAAGAATAAAATCTTTTCTAGACACATTTTTACAATAATAATTTTTCCTTTTAATTGTTTCTTAAATTGAGCATTCGGACAAAAAATAATACAACGCAATATTATACACAATATAATACAATAAAGAAAGCCATTCTGAACACTCTTCTGGCCACTACTAATCTGCATTTTGTCTTAGCAACTCCCCAGGGGAACACAGTGAAAGTATTTTTTGTTCTTGTTTACTATGAGGAATGAAACAGTAATATCTCCACCATTAAGTGGTGGTAAAAGTCACCAGCAGGAAGACAATGGATTGCTTGTTGAGAATGAGAGGTATTTCTCATGTTATCTTAATTAGTAATTCAGAAATAATTAAGAAAATACATTAGTGCTGAGAAATTAGTACTGAAGACAGTGCATACAACCCAGGAAGACTGACAGGGTTGTGGGACAGGCTCCAAAGACCAGGCAAAGGGAGAGGATGCACTTCCCACCACTGCCAGGAGCCAGGGGCGTAGGTGGGAGATGGGGAGAATCCTTCTGAACTTGTGAGAGGAGACCAGGATTCCAGAGATGCAGTGCTAAGAACAGAGAAAAGTAAGATGCACAATGGCTTGAGAGGGATTTGGCACACAGCATTTTCAGAAAAACTAAGAGAACACAAGGGAAGTGACAAATGGAGAGGCTGGACAATGGGTAAGTGTGGTCACACAAGTGTGTTCTGCCAGGCTAAGGATTCGTGACTTTTTAAATCCTTGATGCTACTGAAGGCTTTTGGGCAGGGCCATTATGTGATCAATTTTTATTTTTATTGATGTTAAAAAAGCTGTATATTTATCAGCTATGAGGGGAGACTCTTGCACTAGAGCGAGGGTTCAAATCCTAACTCCATCTCTTATTCTTGTGTGAGGTGGGACAAATTACTTCGTCTCTCTTCCCTCAATATGCTCATCTCTGAAATAGGGAAATGAGACCTGACGTCAGGGTGGTGATGAGGACCACTTAGAACAATGCAATTGTTATTTATTTTTAACACTGCACTCTGGCAGCTGCTTGTGAGAAGGCAATGAAGGTAGGGAGACAGGCTGTTGCAGAAACTGAAGCAAGAAAGGCTGAACTGAAGTTCAAAATGCAATTAAACTAAATGGTAAACGCATGATCGCACTCATATGTGGAACTGAATGAACAAAATGAAACATAAGCAAAATAGAGATGGAGCCATAGGCAGAGAGCAGGCTGACCACTGTGGCAGTAGGAGTTGTGGAGCTGGGTGGGAAGGTGGAGGGATTGAGCAAGAAAAGAACAAAACAGAACTCATGGGCATAGGCAACAGTATGGTGATTGCCAGAGTGTGGGGTGGGTGGAGATGGAGGAAGGTACAGGAGGATAAATGATGGTGGAAGGAGACTGGACTTGGGGTGGTGACACACAGCACAGTGTACAGCAGATGTTTGTGGAATTGTGCACTTGAGACTTGTATGATTTTGTTAACCAGGTCACCCCAATAAATTAAACAAAAAGGAAAAAAGACATTAAGTGACTCCACCTGAATGGGACAAAGGAGGCAGAAATAAAGAGGATCAAAAAAGTTTGGTTAATAATAAGATATGAGTGAAAAATGGGTGGAGTTACCAATGAGGCTCTGGTTTCTGACTTGGGAAATTCTCAGACATGGAAAAACCTGAAGGAGGGTCAGTTTAAGGGGGGTCAGGTAAGAGCACATCAAGTCTTTGTCTACCTGTCCTCTGAGATGCATACCACAAGACTCAGTGTCTCTGACACTCTATTCCATTTATTTTTATATCTCTGTCACCACTGACCTCATATCAAGACCATTTCTCAGTTATTTTCATATCTGAAATGCCTGGTACATTAAATATTTGGTAAGTGTTTTGAGAAGAAGAGGTAAAGAAGGAGAGAGAGAGAAAGAGTGGGCTGAGCTTTTGAATAATGGCCAAAAACACAAATGATAATCAAATGTTCTTACCTACTTCAGATTCAACTGACTACCAGAGAGACCAGCAGGCATAGGTGCCACTCTCTCTGAAGCACCCTGAACTATCAGGAGTCCTGGAAGAGATGAAATTCAGATGTTGGGAATGAGGTCACTATTTTGGTAGCTTCTATGCAAGGTTAATCACAGTCAAATGATGTTAATATTTTATATTTAAAACCCTCTTAGCAAAAGGAGGTACTTTGAAAGTCTTTCAATGAAAATATGTTTTATTAATAAACTATGAATCTGTGCTGTAGGGACAGATTCCAGGAATATTGGGACAATGTGTGCCAGCATTTTAACCACCTGAAGCATAGCAGGTACTAGACCACCAGGAAATGAACAAATCCATTTTTAACTATTTTTATCCTCAATATTCAGAATGTATGTCCTCAAGCATGTCTAGAATTTCTTCAGGTTGTTCCACATCACTGATATTTTTGGTAAATAACATGGTTTAGGGGTGGAAAGGTCTTCACTCAACCCTTTTGGCATCTGTTCATCCCCTCATCATGACAGAAGCTCATTGGAAGGATAAGGCCTGTCCATCTTCCCTGCTGTCTCTGTTCTCATTACTGTCAGTGTTTCCTCTCCTAGTCATAGTGTATGCAAGGGCAATGAGCAAAACGCATGACATGCTACACTTACAATGACTTTGCAATTTTCAACTGTTCTAGTAAAAAAAACAGTTAATAAACAAGAAACCTAGGGAAACAGTTCTTATTCTGGCACCCCTATGATTTGGATGTTGGAATGTTTTAAGTTATCCTGGAGGTTTCTAAGCATCTCCTCATTTTTTTTTGAGTTCTTCTTTCTTCATTCTGTTCCAGTTGAATGTTTATTTCTTCCTTCTGCTCCAAACCGTTGATCTGAGTCCTGGTTTCCTTCCCTTCACTGTTGGTTCCCTGTACATTTTCCTTTGTTTCACTTTGCAAAGCCTTCACTTTTTCCACTATTTTCAGACCATACTCAACCAGTTCTGTGAGCATGCTGATTGCCAGTGTTTTGAACTGCATATCTGATAGGTTGGCTATTTCTTCATCACTTAGTTGTACTTTTTATAGAGTTTTGATATGTTCTTTCATTTGGGCCGTATTTTTTTCTAGGTGTGTCTGTTACCTAATGTGGGGCAGAGCCTTAGGTATTCTCCAGGATGGGGCAACCTACATGGCTTTGTATGTGGGAGAGGGGTCTAGGAGGAAGCAATGCCACTTGCTCAGCTCTCAGCTGGCTTTCAGTCACTTTCCCTATTACCCAAAATAAAATCGGGCCCTTTTAGTGCTGCTTCCTGGGTGGGTGGGTTTGTGTACATTCTAGGACCCTGTGGGTCTCTCCAGTGAACTCTCCTGTGAGTCTGGGAGTTTCTCCACAGGTTTTCTCATTCAGAGGTTTTGAAGCTTTTTTTCCCCTAGCTGGAATCCTGGGTTCTGCAGTCTGTCTTTCTCCCCAGTTTTTCTTCCCAATTTATCCACATGCAAATGTAGGACTGCTTAGTCCACTGGTTGCCACCTCACTTACCCACGTTCTCCAGCTGCTGCTTTGCTGTGGGTCCTCCCTGCTCCAGATGCCCATCTGCACCTCTTGTACCAGTATGGATGAATGTTTCTTTAACTCCTTGGTTTCGGACTCCCAGAGAGTTCTACTTTCTGGTGGCTCTAGTTGTTTTTGTTTTTAAATTTGTTATTGTACTTCTTTTGGTTGTGTTAGGAGGCACAGTGTATCTACTGACACCTCCATCTTGGCTGGAAGTCCTCAAAACTCCACCACTGTTTCCAAGGTGGCCCAAGCTGCCTTCTGGACTTTAATTGAAATCCAAGTAAAAACCTCACAAACATTCTGTGACAGATTGTGGAGATGAGCAGTCACAGTTTCTGTGTGTGGTGGTGTAGCTCCTATCTTCCCAGTGTGATGTAGCCTCTTCCTAGGACTCAGATCTGTTGAATTGGACATTTGACAGCGGCATGGAGAAGATGATGACCAAAGTTCTCTTAACAAACTTAGAGACTGGAGAGCCAAGTGGTTCTGGTCATCCTTGACCCTGCCTGTCTCAGACCAACTTCATGATACTCCCATCATGCAGCACCAGGCTGGGTGAAAGCTGGCTGTTCACAGGCAACACTGCTCGGCACACAGCAGGAGTGAGATAAATTGTTCATAAAACCCAAATAAATAATGCTGAAATTAGCTGGATAGTCCATCTAAATAGTTTGTGACTCAGCTCTCCTGCCTAAAACTGCTTAATGGCAGCACATGTTGGCTTTTTTAGTTTATAAAGTAACTGAGAAACAACCCTTAAGTCTATGAAAATTGAGAGGAAGGTCTTGAAGTTCTTTCAGAGAATATCTAAACTTCCTCTTGATTTCCAAAAATCCAGTTAACCCCCAGTCTCCTATGATCTCAGGTCCAGGACTCAGCCTGTCCCATCCTTCTATGCCGGGCCAGAGTCCTGGGGCTGAATAAGCCTCCCCTGGAGTTAGCTCTGGACAAACATTCCGGACGCACTGTAATGCCTCGTGGCTGATGCCCTTCTACCCTCCCCCCGTCAACACATATCATTCAACTCTGTGTCTTCGTGCTCTGCTCACCAAAATCCTACCAGTGACAGAAAGTGATTTAGTGTCCTTTGATGATGCCACCAAATTCTCCAAAATCTAAGATTCCAACATGTTGATTTTCTTTATTTTCCTACCCCTCTGATTGTTCCCTCAATGTCACCGTTCCTAATTTTTTTCTTGTTTTTCCCAGTGGGTGCTGGAGTGGGGTGTGATGTGGGTCAATATCCATCCAACCATCAGTTGGGTAATTCAGCTGTTTGAAGAATGTGCTCCAAGTCCACATGCTCACTTATTTATTAAATGTTTGTCAAGTTCTTGCGAAGTGTCAATGTGGAGTAAATGGAGTCAGTCAGGCTCCCTCCCCCAGGTGCCTGGACAACTAAAGGAAGCAGTATTGCCATATCCTTGAGCATAGCCCACATTCACAGAATCACACTGTGTTATACAATAGCTTGGTACTCTGCCAGCTTTGTGAGTATTTAGTAAATAAAGAATTTGAGACTCCTTGAGATCATGGCACACAGATTTCAGCACCATGTATGCCCCACCCTTGGATAAAGGTCTGTCAGTCATTCCAAGGGCTCCAGGAATTTTCTTCTGACTGTCCGAATCCCTAGCGAACCTGTCCAGCCTTGGCAGCTGCAACACAAATGGCCCGTGGGCAGGCTTCCTCTCAGTATGGTATGGAGAAGCAGTAGGTCCCCGCGGGGGTGGTCTGGAAGGGTGGTTGGTCGCCAGTATGTGGTATCCAGTGGTGACTCTCCTGGCAGCATGGGCTCCTCCCTAGAACTAACCTGAGGTTAGTGGCACAACTGACACAGTAGAGAAGGCCCCATGGGTGGTGGGGGGACCCTAGAAAAACCAAGCGCCTGGGCGGCCGTGGTCTGGGTGTTTCTCTCAGCTCTGCTGCACTTTGCGACCCGGTGAAGTTACCTGAACACAAAAGCAGAAAAAAGCCTTGAAGGCTCAAATCTGCACCCTGGAGGAAGACCTCTGAACTGCAGGGCTGCGGAGATCCCCCCACCCTATTTGTAGTGAACTATTCCGGAGAGGGGAATTACGTCTTCTATACCCCCTTCCCCTTCCCCCCTCCACAAAGATGTGGAACACAGTTGCCGAGAGCAACTGGACCAGAGGACTGTGGCCTCTGTTGAGTGCTGTGGCAGCAGCGGCAGCAGCACTGGTGCCCGGAAAGCTCTGCTCGGAGCATGCTGATTGGAGCAGACGACAGAAGAAGCTGTGGCATCGGAGTAGGCAGTGGCCAGAGCGACAAAATTGGCAGTGGTGGGGCAGTGGAGGAAACACAGCAGCAGCTCGGAAGGACTGTGCTTTAAGCTCACTACGTCTCACAGTTAAAGAGCGACCCCGTGTGGTTGCGAGCTAAACAATGTTTCTTGCAGCCCCGGGCTGGGGCGGGGGGCGGGAGGCGGGGCGCTGAAGAAAAAACCTAGGCGGGTGCCCAGAGAAGAGCTCTCTCTGTGTCTGGAGGACCATATGGTTGTGTCAACCTCCCTAGAAGAGGGAGGAAATATCTTTTGACAATTTTAAATAGGGGGGAGGGCCAAAGAACCCATCTACAGGGAATGGGCGGGGCCCAGAAAAGGTGAAGGCCCTGTGACTTTTCCTGGGTATTGGGCGATTGTCCCTCTGTGAGTATACTGTTCAGGTGTCCCCCATTCCCGAGTATATCCTGGTCCCCTGTGGGGATCTGTTTAGGCTCTGAGGGGCCTTGCTGAGCAACCCCTCTGTTCAGTTGCCATCCTCACTAAGGGTGATGGCAGTTAAACAGACACAATCCGGCTTAACAGTGAAGTAGGTCAGAGTAGCCAGTGTGCAGAACTGCACATGCTGTGGCTCATGACGGCAACTGAAGCACCACCCCTGACTACTTGCACAAATAGTTGGGTGGTGTACTGAGGGCTAACCTTGTGGATCTCTACATGACATGCAAATAAATGAATGGTTATACACAGGCCATTACAGAGACAAACCTTATGGCAAGACCTCTGGGAGTTAGGCCACCAGAAACAAATCACTGTATATCATGTGACCAGGCATGCACCCACTGAACCCCTAGGAATGATGAGGCTGACACGATAGCCAAGGTGTGCTGGCTGGAAACGGTGCCTACTGGCTCGTCAGGAAGAGACATTGCCCAGTGGCAACAACGCTGCCTCTTACATGCTGGGCAGAAGACCATGTGGTCTACTATAAAAACTTGGGGGTTACCTGTCACCTTAGCAGAGGTATAAGAAACTTTTGAGACCTGTGTTGTGTACCTGTGAGAGCATCCCCAGAGGCCTGTGGTGACTACTGTATAGGTTGACATAATCAGACTCATGCTTAGTTCAATAAGTATACTATCACATGTGTGGATATGGCTACTGGTCTGCTAGCAGCATACCCCACACAGCATTCAGATGAGAAAGAGGTAATTGCTGCTTATGGACTGTTCTCCAGACTCTAAATGAGAGGAGTGGGGGGGGGCAGTTTCAGTGGAAGCCTGACTCCACCAGACG